AGTTTAGCACAGATTCCCAGTGAAATAGGAAATCTCAGCTCCCTCATTACACTTGACCTGCGTGAGTTTTTCGAGAGGGTATGATTTAATCTGCAKGCTGTCATTTCATCTTTGGTTCCTTCGCACTCAACTGCCTTTGCCTTCATCATGTTATTGCAGAGAAAAACAAATTTACTAAGCTCCCCAGTGAAATAGGAAGTCTCAGCTCCCTTGAAATTCTTTTTTTACGTGAGTAATTGGAGTGGGAATAATTTCATCAGTATGCTGTCAAATCGTTTCTACAATTTCTTTTTATCTTTCCTTGACACTCAAGTGCCTTGGCCTCCGCCATGTTATTTCAGAGGAAAGTAAACTTACAGAGCTTCCCAGTGAAATAGGTAATCTAAGTTCCCTCAACGGACTTCACCTAAGTGAGTTATTTGAGTTGTGATTATTTCATCTCCATGATGTCAAATCCTTGTTGCCGTTTATTTTTGGTTAGCTTGACACTCATTGATATCTGTGTCCGCTTTGTGTCTATAGCTTCTAACATGGTAAAAGAGCTTTCAAGTGAAATAGGAAATCTCAGTTCCCTCATTATGCTTGACCTGTGTGAGTTTTTGCTATGTGTATGATTTGATCTCCATGCTGTCAATACATTGTTCCACTATCTCATTGTGTTCCCTTGACACTCAACTGCCTTTGCCCTCACCATGTGTTTAAAGCTGGAAATCAAATTACAGATCTTCCCAGTGAAATAGGTAATCTGAGCTCTCTGCAAGATCTAAATATAGGTGCGTTCTTTGAACAGGCGATGTTTCATCAGAATACTGTCAAATCATTTTTGCAATTTCTCGTTATGATTCCTTGACACTCAACTGCCTTTGCCCTCACAATTTGACTAAAGCTGAAAGTAGCATTATGGAGCTTCCCAGTGAAATAGGAAATCTAAGCTCTTTGGAAGCTCTTAATTTAGGTGTGTTCTTTGACCAGGGAATATTTCGTTTGTACGCTGTGGAATCATTGTTGCAATTTCTTGTGATCTTTCTTTGACACTCAACTAACTTTGCCTCCATCATGTCTTTAAAGGTTCAAATGATCTCACAGAGCTTCCAAGTGAAATAGGAAGTCTCACCTCACTGAATAATCTCGACATGTGTGAGTTACTGGAGAGGGCATGATTTAATCTGCATGCTGTCATTACATTGTTGCAATTTCTTAACATGTTCCCTCGACACTTAACTGCCTTTTCCCTCACATTTGACTAAAGCTGACATGAGCATTACAGAGGTGCCCAGTGAAATAGGTAATCTAAGCTCTCTGCAAGAGCTTAATTTAGGTGCGTTGTTGGATCAGGCAATGATTCATCTGCATGCTGCCATTACATTGTTGCTCTTCCTCGTTATGTTTCCTTGACACTCAACTGCCTTTTCCCTCACCATTTGACTACAGGTTATGGCAGCATTACGGAGCTTCCCAGTGAAATAGGTAATCTCAGCTCCCTTGAAAGGCTTTCTTTCCGTGAGTAACCGGAGTGGGATTTATTTCATCTGCAAGCTGTTGAATCATTGTTGCAATTTCTTGTGATATTTCCTTGACACTCAACTGCCTTTGCCTCCACCATGCTATTTCAGAAGAAGAGAAAATCACAGAGCTTCCCAGTGAACTAGGTAATCTTAGCTCCCTTCGAGGTATCTTTGGAGGTATGTAATCGGAGTGGGAATTATTTCATCTGCAATCTGTATCACCACCGTTGCAACCTTTTATGTTTCCTTGACACTCAACTTCCTTTGCCTCAATCATGTGACTGTAGCTTCCAACAAACTTACAGTGCTTCCCAGTGAAATTGGTAATCTAAGCTCTCTACACGAACTATATTTCGGTGCGTACTTGGAACAGGCGATGTTTCATCGGCATGCTGTCAATTCATTCTTGCAATTTCATGTTTGGATTCCTTGGCACTCAACTGCATTCTCGTCCGCTATGTGATTTCAGATAGGAATCAAATCACGGAGCTTCCCAGCGAAATAGGTAATCTCGGCTCCGTCTCCGCACTTGACGTGGGTGAGTAATTTGAGATGGCAACATTTCTTCCGCATGTTTTCAATTCTTTGTTGCCATGTCATCTTTTGTTTTCTTCACACTCAACTGCCTTTGCCTCCACCGTATTACTGCAGCATACAACAGAATCACGGAGCTTCCCACTGAGATGGGTGATCTCACCTCCC